AGCTTGTAGCCACAGCGTATATTTGAAGCTTTTTGGAGAGCATGAATTTTCACAGCGTGCAAAAAAATCGTTATTTTGTTTATTTGTGCAGGTACTTGAAGAAGTATGTAAGAAGCAGGCTCTATCAGCTGAGCACTACGCTTTACAGTTAGTAGAATTATTATGATAATCATTATTTAAGAAATAGGGAACATATTTCGGTTTTTATCGAGTTTAATAAAGCAGAGTTATAGAATCGTGAGTGGAAGTTTAGACGAGCAAGAAATGTTGTGGGAACACGAGCTTAAGTTGAGTGTTTCCCATCTCTTTTGAGTTCTCGCAAAGGTTGATGCGTGTTTCTATAAGTGGCAGGGCTCTCCCAAAAATTTGAAGTAAAATTTGTTGTAGGCGGCACTGAGCATTCAGGGCCTCCAAGTCACAAAAAGGCATACGATTTCAGTTTTTATCTGATGCCTCTGATGCATTTGATTTAATGCCAAAAGCATCATCTCAGTCAGATATTTACTTTATTGAACACCACAGCAGTTATCACAAATTATGAAATTATGGAAAAGGCATTTTAAAGTGATATACACATCATGTAATGTTTCCTGCAGTATAAAGCGTTCACTATTAACCGGGGGTGGGGGTTACTCCCTATACTGGCCTATACGGGGAGGCTCTGCCCTTTGGTATTCAAAGAGACTTTAATTGAAATATTTTGAACAGAAGCACCTTACATCGTTTTAAACTTCACAAGATTTTCAAGGGTCTAGAAAAGAGATGCAATGTTCTTAAGTAGGTATGTGAAAGGGGTGGATTTTTTCAATAAAAGGCATATGAAAGAGGTACTTTTTCTGTCAAAATGGTATACAAAAGGGTAAAGGGTTGGACCTTGGACCTTGGACCTTGTAGAATACCCCCTGGACCGTTAATGAGCTGAGAGTTATCCACCTGTTCTTAATACCGTTCAAAGACCCTTCACGTAAAATTTGGTATTTCTTGTGTTGCTTTGAGTTTTCAGCCAAATTCATTGGCATNATTCAAATTTTTAGTAATGACATTCATTTCTTACCAATATGGACCCATTTTCGTCACAATCGCCGTTCTTCTGTGAGCATTGTTCGCTGGAATAGCCACTGGCGTGGAGGCAAGGGGCATTGAAGGCGGCCAAATATAGTGCGATTTGCAAAATAATCATTTTAATCATTGCTTGAACTTCTGCAATGTAAAATAAAGACAGACAGCAAGTCTATATTTTTACTTGAGAGTTCGGTATACGTAAATTTCAACCGGAAGCTTTGACTGTCACGCTAACTTCGCGAGGTCACGCGAATTTCCAGGAAAAACGGGACGCTGTCAACAAGATCTGAATAAATTGTCATCTCCTTGATACATTTTTCTTCATTTTTTCAAGGATGAA